ATTCACTGCCTACAGCTTAGGAACTGTCTGCCTGTACAGAGGTGTGGGCAGAGAGCTGTAGGCAGTGTGTGCAGGAGCCTGACATTGCATCCACGATCCACTGAACGCAGGTGCAATGCTTTGCAGGCTCCTGAGAAAAAATAGATGCACATTTTTTTACTGCAAAAATATGTGCATTTATTATTTTTTTCAAAAGATGAACTTTGCCTTAATTTGCAACACTTGGCAAAAGAGTAGCAGGGTGCCTATTTTCTCACCAGGCTCCTATTCAGGCTGTTTACCTTTCCCAAATTCTCTTTCCAAATATGGAGCTATGACACATATTAAGTGTTTTGATCGGACTCTGAGGGACACAAAAATGTCAGAGACTGTGTGCGGACAGCTAGGCTGGAGCTTAATAGTACGCAGCTTCTCCAAAAGACCCATTTATTGTGGGTTGCCCCTCTCTGATTGCCACCCATTCTAGTGGGGTGGCTCTTTGTCCTTGAGCCTTGGATCCTTCCATGTGTTCATCTGTTTCAGAGTTACCCAGGACACAATAGGGGTTGCTGTTTATATGTATTCTGAACTGTTTTACTGGAGTAGTGCTTCTCCATTTTTATAGAGTCTTATAGATAATATGCTATGTAGGAAAATGTTATCCTAATTGAGTCACAGAAATTGCTGTGAAGCAGGGGCGGACTGATCATTTGGAAACTCGGGCACTGCCCGAGGTCCCTGGGTCAGTAAGGGGCCCCATGAGATGCCCCTGGTACCTTTTGCATAGGCTTTTTTGAGTTTGGGCAAGGACACAGGGGCCCCATGATCCCCTATTGCCCGGGGCCCCCATGAGTTGTCAGTCCACCCCTGCTGTGAAGAGTCCATGTTTGTGCATATTTCATATTCAGACTGGGAATTATATGCATGTTCTTTGCTATCAACTTATTTTTCATTATTTTTCAGTGTAAACATGTTTAGCATTGATGGAGGAATCTCTTGGTGGACACGTGCAATTCTTTTCATTACGGATCGAAATTCGAAATAAATTTTCGTTATTCGGAGAGATTTGGATGTATTTAAATCCCTGAATCACAATAGTAACAAATTTCAATGAATATGAAATAAATTATAACGAAAACAACTAATTCATTCTTATTCATTAGTTTAATTAGTTTGTAACTTCAGAGGGTTTTGTTAGTTCAATAATATGTGTCACACTTTGTCGTGATTGGCCAAAGCCAAAGTCTCCAAACATTAACGTAAGCAAGTTGAATCAAAGTCACAAGCGAGTCACAAGCAAGTCACATCAAAGTAACAAGCAAGTCGCTGAAACAACATAAACAACATAAAGAATGAAATATAAGTGTGCGCTGCCAAATAATTAAATACATGGTGAAACAATTGTGAATACGAGCTGCTGCAATCACATAAAATGTGTGTTCATCACATGTGAAATAATAAACCAGTGTGTTGTGCTGTGCTGTGCTGCTCAAAGTATAACTTGTATATAAATCCAAAAAACATATACAAAACTCAACTATATACAGTAAGTCCAAAAGGGAAAGGAAGGAAAAACTCTTCAACAATGTAGGTGGGAAGAACATATTCCAACTGGTGAGTAAGTCCGCTATCTCAGTGCTGTAAGTCTTTAAACGATGTGCATCACCACGGTGACCATATAAAATAGGTGGACCCTCACCTTCACGCATGGACCCATATAGAAAGCAGGTCAAACAGGCATCTCACCTCCTAATGGGAGTAAAATAATGGCCTCTCCTCTGTGGATAATCCGCCGCTCATATATGGTTACTGTATCCTCCAAGTAAACCCTTTAACAGTATTGCTGGCTCTGTGGATAAAACTCACAACCATATAAAGCATAGTGCAGCATGTTTCTTAAAACCTCAGAGAGTGTATTTAAAAATGCACTCACATATTACAGTAGTAAAAAACCACAGTGTGACAAAAGCTGCGAAGCTGTGATAGACACTTTACAGCGTCTTTGACCGTGCTAGCGGTGTTCCAGCTCTGATGTCACTTGGCTCCTCCCCCCACACGTATCACCATGAACCACGTGACTTCATCAGGGGCCTGCAAGGTGATTGACGTGGCCTGTCTCTGGGTGAAGACCAAACCTGATTTAGGCCAGCCTGTAGGCTTGGCTGATTCATGATTGCATTGGTTACACATACTGCAAGTTCCCCTCATTGATGACCTCAGATTGGATTTTGACTACTCTGTAAACTCTGCCTGCCTTTTGACTATGGATCTCACTATGACTATCCTGAACCTTGTCTGCCTTGTACCTGGACTGTCATTGAACAACTCTCTGCCTGTCTGTCAACCAGGAAAGTACATGTTTGCTGTGCTCAGTTCACACCCTGCCCTATCATGGTAGCCAGGCACTCTAGCATTTTGTATAAGTCCTGGGGGCAACTGAGTACCGGTAGGCCTGCTTGCCTTATGGGAAAAGGGGCTGCTATAGGTGAAGAACACAGAAGCTGGTTTTAGTGTCTGACCACTTGCATTAGGGGTAAGCGTGACACTGGGAGACTTACCTGAAAACAATGCCCTCCAACAGCATGCTGTCACAGGAACTGGCACTTCCATCTTCACCCGGTCTTCCTTCCGGGTTCTCAGACTTCAGTCATGTGCATGGCAGAGCAACGATGACATTACTCCTGCGCATGTAAGGAGGAGACATGACCATGGCTCAGAGCTCTGAAGGAATGGCACATGTATGCGCACCTTCAAAGAACATGCGCTGGTGATGTCACTAGCTGCTGCTAAAGTAAATATCTCTTAAATGTGCACCGTTTACTGTACCTACAGTTGCAAGAAAAAGTATGTGAACCCCTTGGGATTACGTGGAGTTTTGCATGAATTGGGCATAAAATGTGCTCTGAACGTTATCTAAGTCACAACAATAGAAGAACACAGTCTGCTGAACATAATACTACACAAACATTAGATGTTGCCATGGTTTAATTGCACATAACATGTAAACATTCACAGTGCAGGGAGGAAAAAGTATGTGAACCTTAATAGACTTAATAACTGGTTGACCCTCCTTTGGCAGCAATAACCTCAACCAAACATTTCCTGTAGTTGCAGATCAAACCTGCACAACGATCTGAAGTAATTTTGGACCACTCCTCTTCACAAAACTGTTTCAGTGTAGCAATATTCTTGGATGTCTGGTGTGAATCGCTCTCTTAAGGTCATGCCACAGCATTTCAATCGGGGTTGAGGTCAGGACTCTGAATGGGCCACTCCAGAAGGCGTATTCTGTGCTGTTCCAGCCATTGTTTTGTTGAATTACTTGTATGCTTTGGGTCATTGTCCTGTTGCATCACCCATCCTCTGCGCGGAGCTCAGTTGGCGGACAGATGGTCATACGTTTTCCTGCAAAATGTCTTGATAAACTCTGGAATTCATTTTCCCATCAATGACAACAATCCGTCCAGGCCCCTAAGGCAGCAAAGCAGCCCCAAACCATGATGCTCCCTCTGCCATGTTTTACAGTGGGGATGAGGTTTTGATGTTGGTGTGCTGTGCCTTTTTTTCTCCACACATAGTGTTGTGTGTTCTTCCCAAACAACTCAATCTTGGTTTCATCTGTCCACAGTATATTTTGCCAGTAGTGCTGTGGAACATCCAGGTGCTCTTTTGCAAACTTCAAACATGCCGCAATATTCTTTTTGGACAGCAATGGCTTCCTCCGTGGTGTCCTCCCATGTACTCCATTCTTGTTTAATGTTTTCCTTATTGTAGATGTGTCAACAAAAATGTTAGCATGTGCCAGAGATTTCTGTAGGTCTTTAGCTGACACTCTGGGATTCTTCTTTACCTCATGCAGCATTCTGCGCTGTGCTCTTGCAGTCATTTTTACAGGACGACCACGCCTAGGGAGAGTAGCAACAGTGCTAAACTTTCTCCATTTGTAGACAGTCTGTCTTACCGTGGACACATGAACATCAAAGCTTTTGGAGATACTTTTGTAACCCTTTTCAGCTTCATGCAAGTCAACAATTCTTGATCGTAGGTCTTCTGAGAGCTCTTTTCTGCGAGGCATGGTTCACATCAGACAGTGCTTTTTGAAACCAGTAAACCCAAAACAGGTGTGTGTTTTTTTAAAGGCAGGACAGCTGTCAGCAACACATCCAATATCATCACACTGATTGGAGTCAAGGTTGGCTCACTCCTGGCTCCAATTAGCTATGGGAGAAGTCATTAAGCTAGGGCCACACATACTTTTTCCTCCCTGCACTGTGAATGTTTACATGTTATGTGCAATTAAACCATGGCAATATCTAATGTTTGTGTAGTATTATGTTCAGCAGACTGTATTCTTCTATTGTTGTGACTTAGATGACGTTCAGAGCACATTTTACGCCCAATTCATGCAAAACTCCACGTAATCCCACAGGGTTCACATACTTTTTCTTGCAACTGTATAGGTAAACATTATTATAGGCGTATCTATAGGTAAAAATCTACAGTGTGACTTTACTACCACTTTAACAACTATTTATTACCTGATTCAGATGTAACAACACCGTGAAAGATACTGATAAAACCAATGCTGAAATTCAGGATATTTTTATACTTTGCTAAATATAAAGAATTTCACTTATTATTTACCTGGCTGTATAGTAAAATGTATGTGCTGTTCAATCTAGAAAAGCTGGCTAGTTTGTAGCCCGTGCTGAATGTTTGCACCATCCCTTTACATTATTCACTTTTACTGGTAGCTTCGACTCAAAAAATGTTAGATGACTTATTGATCTGTTTTCGTAGCACAGTCTAGATCTATGAATATTCTGCCAACGTAAGCATTTTTAGCATGGCTGTCACTGAGTAGAATTTTAAATATTACTAGCTGCATGTCTTTTGCTTTCCTTGGTCGGGGCACAAGTTCATCAAAAATCTTCCATAATAATTGCTTCTATTCTAGGGAGATTCAGGCTGAGCTAATTTCATTTATCTCTTACTCTCTCGCTCTCTCTCTTTTTTTGTAGACGTCCAATGGCAATACCAATTTCTAAGCAAGATAGTTTGCTGGAAAAAGACACAATGTTCAGAGATTCAACAAAGACATTAAACAAGCATTACTCACAAGACAATGCTTCTGAAAGAATCAATGTGACCAGTTCTGCTAAATTGGAACAGGTATGTAATGAGAAAGGAGCTGGGGTTAAGTCTTGTGTGTTTCTCCTATTAATACCAGCAAAGCATGTGTAGCATATTACTACTTTTGAAGGATAGTTATACAAATTTTAAAGCATGTATGGGAACACAGGCTTATTATTTTTTAGGTGCAATCATTACAAGTTATGGTTAGACACTTTGAATTTCATGCATCTTTCTGCCAGGGTAAATTTCAAGTCCATCTCACAGGAAGTCCTCCAAAAATTAAACTTAAACTCACTTCTGTTTAACATCCACAGGAAACACTCAACAAAAGCCACAGGATCTATACAAGAGGGTGCAATTTTCAGGACATAGCAGATTATTACTCTAGACTGTACCATGTTTTGTTGCACTGGGGGGAATTTACTAAAACTGGAGAGTGCAAAATCTGATGCAGCTGTGCATAGAAACCAATCAGCTTCCAGGATTTATTCCCAAAGCTTAACTGAACAAGCTGAGGTTAGAAGCTGATTGTCTACCATTCACAGCTGTACCAGCAGTGCTCTAGTTTTAGTAAATCTCCCCCATAGTGTCAAACCTATAATTTGATTTAAAGCAACAAGACATGACTCATGTAGATAGGTCTGATCTCGTAGTAGATTATAATATGGAAGATTGATAGAGATGCTATCTATAATGTATAAATGCACCAGATCAGTTGCTATTAAGGAAACGATAGTGAAATTACACACCAGATGGTATTGTACTCCTGTCGGATTGCATGCCATCTTCTCTGAGATCAGTGGGTTGTGCTTCAGGGGATGCCCGGACAAGGGTACCTATCTGCATATTTTTTGAGCTATAAAGCTCTCTGCCCTTTGTGATGGAAATTGGCCAATAAAGTTGCACAGATTACTGGGATTCAGGTTACCCTCACAGCCCCCATGTGCCTTCTATATACATCCATCCCAGATGTCGATAACCCTTCCTTAAGGCTCACTCATACCTTATTTTTGGCTATCTTCTGGGCTATTGCATTCAGTTGGTGTTCTCTCCCACAGTACCATGGCCTCATGTAGTACAGAGGATGAAGGCCATTAAACTGATGAAAAGTATCCAAAATAAGATATTTGATACTATGCATATTTTTTATAACAAATGGGAAAATTGGTCCCATTTGATTTCTCTTTTAGGTACTCTTGATAATGTACCTGTTTTGTGGCACCTCTAGTAAGTTGAGTTCTACTATTAAGTGACTACTGAAGTATTGAAATATGGCTATGAAAAACATTTTCAGTGTTGTCACTTTATATTTTGACTGTATTATTTCTTCTGCTTTTTGCAGAATTACGGTACAATTTTCGCTATGCATTCTAATTTTTTTTTTTCCTTTTACGTTTACTATGACTTTTGATGTATAGAGCTTTGTGAACAAAAGATTGATATGCATCTTATGCATTACTGTACTTTGTATGTACGTTAAGCTCTAATAAAAATAGTTTGCAAAAAAAGAAATAAATAAAGTCTTCATGTGTATATATAAAACATGTATAATAAAACATGGGTGTACAATATATTTTCTAGAAGGCAATTTTCCAAATATGTCAGAAATTGGGAAGGAAAAAAACATAACTGTAGCCCCCTCACCCCAGGGCCTGATTGTAAAGTTGGACATGGATCCAATCCCAATAATTCATCTAAGTGAATCTAAAGTGCACCTGTGCTTTCTTTTCCTAACTGTGAGCCACTGAAATGCATGTAATGAATATTACTGAGTTTTGTGACTTGACTGTGACTTGGCTGGAGTTCTCTGTTGAATAAGATGTTGTGAGTAGTATTTTATAATGAAACAATGAATTACATATTTTTTCTTTTGTTTGCTCAGATCAAATTAATGCCAGCAGCTCCAAATGATGACTTAGCAACTCTCAGTGAACTCACGGACAGCAGCCTGTTGTATGAGATACAGAAAAGGTTCAAAAACAACCAAATTTATGTAAGTCACTTAACATATAAAAAACATGATATCAAAAGAAATTGGTGAATTTTATTCACAATAATTCAAAGGCTTTCAAGGCTGTGATTGGCAATTGTTAGGAGTGCTGCTTCTTAAAAGATAATTTCACCTTTATACAAAAAATAAATGCACATTTGTTTGCAGGTAAAAAATGTGCATTTATTATTTTTTGTTGCAGGAGCCTGTAAACTATTGCACTCGTGATCAGCAGATCGCTGGTGTCATGCAGGTCTCCTGCAGATCTGCAGATGTACAGGCAAGCAGATATACTGACAGGAAGACTCAATGAACTACCAAAGAGGTCCACAGCACCATGGTAGTTCATTGTGAAATACAAGCCGACAGGCGTTAAGGCTGTCGGTATTTGTAGTTTCTCATCCACAGAACACAGTGAATGAGTGACGCAGCCAGGTGGGCACAGCAATGCATGGACGCGTTTTTTAAATATTTCACAGCTAGAGAGGGGAGAGAAGATCTCCTACTAGCTGTCAAAGCAGTGGAATGCCGAGGGGGGGGGGGGGGGTCTGGTGCATTCATAACATGTTACATGTTATACTCTGAATATGGGTGTAATGTGTAACATATTATGAAAGGTGAATGTATCCTTAAAATACATCCTTTGTAAAAAGTAAAAAAACATGACTGGTTTGGCAGCTGCAGACTTCCAAATGCCTTGTGTGTTGAAATATCAGAAAAACTTCTCTCAATATATTTTTAATTGTTCAGATACACTAAATAGGGGAAACCTTGTATACTCAATGAAATTGTACTATACAAAGTACAGTATCTAACAGACGTGAGTACACCCCTCACGTTTTTGTAAATATTTTATATCTTTCATGTGACAACACTGAAGAAATGACACTTTGCTACAATGTAAAGTAGTGAGTGTACAGCTTGTATAACAGTGTAAATTTGCTGTCCCATCAAAATAACTCAACACACAGCCATTAACGTCTAAACCGCTGGCAACAAAAGTTAGTATACCCCTTAGTGAAAATGTCCAAATTGGGCCCAAAGTGTCAATATTTTGTGTGGCCACCATTATTTTCCTGCACTGCCTTAACCCTCTTTGGCATGGATTTCACCAGAGCTGCACAGGTTGCCACTGGAGTCCTCTTCCACTCCTCCATGACGACATCATGGAGCTGGTGGATGTTAGAGACCTTGCGCTCCTCCATCTTCCATTTAAGGATGCCCCACAGATGCTCAATAGGTTTTAGGTCTGGAGACATGCTTGGCCAGTCCATCACCTTTACCCTCAGCTTCTTTAGCAAGGCAGTGGTCGTCTTGGAGGTGTGTTTAGGGTCATTATCATGTTGGAATACTGCTGTGAGGCCCAGTCTCCGAAGGGAGGGGATTATGCTCTGCTTTAGTATGTCACAGTACATGTTGACATTCATGGTTCCCTCAATGAACTGTAGCTCCCTATTGCCGGCAGCACTCATGCAGCCCCAGACCATGACACTCCCACCACCATGCTTGACTATAGGCAAGACACACTTGTCTGTACTCCTCACCTGGTTGCCACCACACACACGCTTGACACCATCTGAGCCAAATAAGTTTATCTTGGTCTCATCAGACCACAGGACATGGTTCCAGTAATCTATGTCCTTAGTCTGCTTGTCTTCAACAAACTGTTTGCGGGCATTCTTGTACATCATCTTTAGAAGAGGCTTCCTTCTGGGACGACAGCCATGCAGACCAATTTGATGCAGTGTGCGGCGTATGGTCTGAGCACTGACAGGCTGACCCCCCCCACCCCTTCAACCTCTGCAGCAATGCTGGCAGCACTCATACGTCTATTTCCCAAAGACAACCTCTGGATATGACACTGAGCACGTGCACTCAACTTCTTTGGTCAACCATGGCGAGGCCTGTTCTGAGTGGAACCTGTCCTGTTAAACCGCTGTATGGTCTTGGCCACCATGCTGCAGCTCAGTTTCAGGGTCTTGGCAATCTTCTTATAGCCTAGGCCATCTTTATGTAGAGCAACAATTCTTCTTTTCAGATCCTCAGAGAGTTCTTTGCCATGAGGTGCCATGTTGAACTTCCAGTGACCAGTATGAGAGAGTGAGAGCGATAACACCAAATTTAACACACCTGCTCCCTATTCACACCTGAGACCTTGTAACACTAAGGAGTCACATGACACCGGGGAGGGAAAATGGCTAATTGGACCCACTTTGGACATTTTCACTAAGGGGTGTACTCACTTTTGTTGCCAGCAGTTTAGACATTAATGGCTATATGTTGAGTTATTTTGAGGGGACAGCAAATTTACACTGTTATACAAGCTGTACACTCACTACTTTACATTGTAGCAAAGTGTCATTTCTTCAGTGTTGTCACATGAAAAGATAGAATAAAATAGTTACAAAAATGTGAGGGGTGTATTCACTTCTGTGAGATACTGTATATGAGTTGGCTCATATATGAACGCACTCACTGTGTGGCTGATATCTTATCCCAATGGTAGTTAAGAAGAGGCAGAAGAACTGCCATTATGTGGCAATCTACAATTTTCAGTTTTAAATACAGTAACAAAACAATATGTCAAAATATAAAAGTCACATCAAATATTACTTTAATGTAAACACACAAATGATAATGCAAAATAGGTTCTTGGGAACAACTTCCATTACCAGCAGGAACCAGAGTGTTACCTTAATATCTTCTGTACCGTATAGAAGAATCTGATCTGGTTTCAGTTATTGCCCACATATTTAAAGAAGGGAGAGGCAGGGTACCTAGATATCTTAGATGGCAGCCTAACTGGAAGGATTACTGGAGCATTCAGATTGTGATTTCCCCAAAGATCAGTTGTATGGACCAACTGGTGGTGGGAAGAACCATTTCCAAACCAAACAATGATAATTTTTTGTCTATGTCTTCTTGTACCATCTGCAGTGCACTAGAGATATATGATCTAAGTAGATATGCATGAGCTGTAAAAAAAAAAAAGTAGACAAGACTGCCTGTTGACAGTCATAAGATAAATTCAGGAGTCACAATTACTGATATGATGAAGAGAATTGGAGAGAGCGCTTGACAATGGCCGGAATGCCTGGGAGTAGAGACATCATCCATAGGCTCCTATGGCCCATAGTTGTTGGTGATCTCTCCTCTCCCCTGCAGCTGTCGCTGACTTACACAGAGGAGTCAGATCATGTGACTGCCCGGAGTGGTCTGAAAATAGGTAAGTATATACATATTTCTTACATGGGTTAGTCAGCATAGGTGTCAGCGGGCAAGGGGGTCATGGTTAAACATTTTTAAGATTAGTTAGGTTTAGCCTAGAATTCCACTTTGATAACTCATTGCTGAATGATGACTATTGCCAGCCCACGACAAAAATTAAAACAAAACAAATACAGTTGTGTACTGAGGAACCACAGAGAATAAAATATTGCAGAACGATGTTATAATTTTATAAAGCATAACGAAATTGGCACTATTCAACATCATTCTGTGTAGAGTATAATGTAGATGCAATTCTGTTTCTGATATCATTTATCTACATGCAGGTCTGAATGTATTAGGCTTATTTTACTGTATGTCATTGTCAGAAATCCTAATAATTTTATATCTGTACAGTATGAAATGAAGCAAAACATGCCTGCCATTTCTAAATGATTGATGTGATCTGACAACTGCAAGGAAGCAATAGAACAAAATATGGCTCACTGAAAGTTTTATTCCTCCCAACTGAGACATGATTTTCTCTAGCTGTTACCAGGAATATCATTCAGGCAGCTATATGGATGCTGCACCACTGACTCTGAGACTAATAACAATTGGCAGTTAGTTCCGAATTACACATCAGTTTAGTGCAGTCATAACTGATGACTGTATATAAGTAACACTTTTTTTATTCGATCTGTAGTGTGTTCTTTCTTCATTATCAGAAAGGACTTACAATTCTAACAGATCTTCTTTTCTTTATTGTGTTATGATACTTCCTCCTTCCCAGTTGTCAGCTACATTGTTGTTGAAGATTACTAAGTCTGTATAATCACAATAAGACAAAGTTGTTATAAAATGCATCATATGACTTCTACTGCTTATTTCTCTGGATTTACCTTTAATTTTGATATGTTGCCTTCCTTGATGGTAACCTCTGCTTGTGATTTTTTTTTCATCATATGTTCAGTTGAGTGTGTGCCAGGAATGTGACAGGTTTATTTTAAAATGGCTATCTGCATAGGCATAGGCTATGTAGCTATAGGCTACTTAACAATCTCTAGGCCTGCCGGTGGATTGCTATGGCACAAAGCATTGCATTGTGTGGCCAGGCTGATGGCATGTGTCTTCTAGATATGACAACATGAAAAAGTATAGAAATTGCAAGCCAAAGTTGACAACTCTTTTTTTATGCTACCCTCTAATTCATTTTACTGTGAAGTCAGTGTAGAGCAATGCACATTTGTTAAAAAAAATTATGCTTTATAAATCTGCAGAGCTACTTATAAAACAAATGGCCATAACACTACTTTTTAAATGGGAGCCTTTTTTTTGCTAAACATAAAGTGTATTGATAAAAAAAAAAACAACTGTTTTCCATGTAATAGTATTTTAATCTTTTCTTCATACTTTTTTGCATCTCAGTGCTGATGATCTCTTGCAGCCCCTTTCAGCTATTTACTGATCTTATGCACTGGTTCCAGTAACAGCTGCATATCATTATTCTGTACTATTTTTCTAATAGTGACAACAATGGACCATGCACTGTTTAATTGGGCAACTATGTGGCAAATAAGGTTTAATGTTGGCAAATGTAAAGTTCTACACTTGGGGGCTAAGAATATGCATTCATCATACATACTATGGGTGTACAACTGGGGGAATCAATGGTGGAGAAGGATCTGGAAGTTCTGATAGATCACAAGCTTAATAATGGCATGCAATGCCAAGCTGCGGTTTCTAAAGTGAGCAAAATCCTCTCTCTTGTATTAAAAGAGGTGTAGACTCCAGAGAGAGAGATATCATTTTACCCCTGTACAAATCATTAGTAAGACCTCATCTGGAATATGCAGTTGAGTTTTGGGCACCAATTTACAAAAAGAACAATTGGGGAACTGGAGAAAGTACAGAGAATGGCAACTAAACTGATACGAGGCATGGAGGAGATCAGATATGAGGAAAGATTAGAGGAACTGAATTTATTCTTTCTTGAGAAGAGGAGATTAAGGGGGGATATGATCAAACATGTATAAATACATCAGTGGTTCATATAGTGAACTCAATGTACAGATTCACCTTGAGGTCATCACAGAGGACAAGAGGGCACTCTTTACGTCTAGAGAAAAAGAAATTTAATCTCCAAATACGGAAAGGTTTCTTCAAAGTAAGTGACAATGTGGAATAGACTTCTCAAGAGTTGATTCTGGCCAGCTCAGTGGATTGCTTTAAAAAAGGCCTGGATTCTTTCCTAGATACACATAATATAACTGGATACTAACATTAATAGGTAGTTGATCCCGGGAACATCCGATTACCTCTTGGGGGATCAGGAAGAAATTTTTTCCCTGCAGGAGAAAATTGGATCATGCTTTGCTGGGTTTTTTCTTTGCCTTCCTCTGGATCAACTGCGGGTATAGGATTATAACTTTTTTTTTTTTTTTGGTTGAACTGGATTGACTTTTGTCTTTTTTTAGCCAGACTAACTATACTATGCAACTATGTAACTATGACTGTGTATTTCGGTGATTCCGCTTGTAGTCCTGATTACCAATGCATGTAAGAGGGTTGGCAATGCAGGAACACTAACTTAGAGATAGCAGAATAACAAGACAATATTTTAATGAAAGCTGCAGATTTAAAATTATTTTGAGATGAGATGGTGGTAAAGCATATGTGAGGTTTTAGTGATTAGGTTTAGATGTACTTAAGGCATGCTAAAATAACCCCTCGACCCATGTTATTAATCATATGCCATTTTAGCATGCTTTACTCTCCATTAAGCATTATAGCTGTTTTATTTGGCTGTTGTAGGTTGAATATGACAGCACATAACAATATCCTTTTTATATGTTTCAAAACTATATTTTTTCATATAGCTCTTTTCTACACAGGTATATTTTTATATTTTATTATTAACAGTGTGATATGCCTAGGCTACTTAGACTTTTTACAATGTCACCATTTACAAGAGCACATCAGATTTTTACAGCTAGAAGTGTTGGCCTCTGCCTGTGTATAACAGCAGTTTGCATTTGTAATAGTGTGGTCTCTCACATATCACAGCCTGTTAATTTTTATTCCAGACCTATATTGGAAATATTCTGCTGCTTGTTAACCCATACAGAGATCTCCCCATCTACTCATCCTTGGTAAGAGCTTACTTACCTATACATATGTACAATTTTATTATTTAATTTGTATCTTAAATATTGTGGATGTATAATGTATATGTAAAAGTGCTGCATAAGTTGGCGGCGCTATATAAGTACATCCATTTACTCCTCTTGTCCTGCAATTCTTATTCTAATAGCACATGCTTATTTTACTATTGTTATTGTCTGGTATAAATAATAAGTAGATGAATGTTTTTTATTTGCTACATGAACGAACACAGACAGCTACAACTATATTGTCATATCCCATGCACATTGAAATAATAGCTCCTTTTTCTGCATTGTATACATTTTCTAAATGACAAATTTCAGCAAGCAAAGTGCTTCCAACAACTATGAAAGCTCGTCACTGCCCATATGACCCCTGAATAGTTATCGGGGGGATACTTGTGTACTATAACATGGAAATTGCAGCATAGCCATGCCTGTTACAATGGCAGCTTTTAAAATTCCCCATTGGGTTACATCCCATTATTTACTGATTATTTGCAAAAGTAATTTCTTTACTTTTTGAGATTTGGTCATATTTACACTACAATTGCTTGCAGATATGACTTCCAAAGCATGGATATTTGAATAGAGCAAAACAGATGAGAGAGTACTAAAAGTCCTGGAATCATTTCTTGAATACCAGCTACAAAGCTGACACAATTGCAGCGGCACACAGGTGGTTAAAATGAGAGATCATAGGAAGAGTGGCACTGATTTAGGACAGGTTCACACCAGGAATTGCACAGGAATGCACTGTTCACTCCTGTACAATTCGCAGGCAGTTCTGTGCTGTTTGGTTTCATCCCATTCATTTTGAATGAGCTGAAATTGCACCACACTGCACAAAAAGTAGTGCATGTACTACTTTTAGAATCTCATTGCAACCGGATTGCATGGTACTTCTTCTTATATTTCACATATATAGGATATAATGGAAATCGCAATGCAAATAGCAAGAAATTGTTGAAAATCTTCACAAGTAGCAATAAAGTCTTCAGAAATCACATCTAAAATTGCGCTGAAATTGCACACACATCACGCATTTTTGAAATCGCAGTGGTGTGACTGGTGACTAAAATGGACCAAATTGCCATATTTGGGTAATGACCTGTATCCATGTTTGCATTTAGCTTTCAGACAGGAAATCTAGCTCACAGCTAAATGGGACCAGGGATGGAGCTGTGTACGGGAAGCTGTCCCATACATGACAGCGTCCCAGCACAGGCGTGGCTCACTTTGAGTACAAGTGCACACCAGCTCAGAGTTGGCCTTAATTACTGCCAATTTCCTAACTTCAGAACAGGTGGTAATTCTCTAAGTATTTGTCCTTGACATATCGACAGGTTTTTAAAGTGACAGTAGTAAGAAGTACCTCAATTTGCAGCATGTGTTGGTAATATTACTGACAATGATGTAAATGCTTCCCTGAATTAGGCGCAGGTAGTTCTTAAGAGAACTACTGTTAGAAGTCTGTCTTTAGGACTGTTTTGAATTCCCCTAGTTGTTTTCATATATGCCCTGGCTTTTATGTTAGGCTTAAAAAGATTTCCATGAAAAGCTAAGCTTTTAATCTATCCATATCCTGATCATTTGTCCTGGGTCCATTTTCTGTACAATCCAGGGGCGGACTGACCATTTGGAAACTCGGGCACTGCCCGAGGGCCCAGGGTCAGTAGGGGGCCCATGAGATGCCCCTGGTACCTTTTTCATAGGCTTTTTTGAGTTTGGGCAAGGACACAGGGGCCCCATGATCCCCTATTGCCCGGGGGCCCCATGAGTTGTCAGTCCGCCCCGGTACAATCATTTATTATATAATAGGCCACAAAGGGCTTCTGTTTTGTATGTTGTTTTGGTGTAATAATGATCTCTCCATTCTGTTTGGAATGTCTAAAATTTCATGTGAAATGTGTGTTTGCTTGAAGTATATTATGATGTACCACGCATAAATATAAGTTGTTAAGTGAAGCTTGGGGCATTCTACACATGTCAATGTTAAGAGCTATTGGATTGGAGGCTTGGGGATGTTTATTTTTATTTAATATGATAAATCAACTGCTATGATTTATTAAGTGCTGGCAGGTAGACATAAATTCCCTTTACATCTACTACCAAGAAAGATGCCCTGAGTTAACCACACAGATAAAGCACAGAACCCAGCCATAAAAATTCTTCATGTACAGCTATATGTTAGTGTGTGAGCTTTCTTTTTTGTATTACTCATTTAAATTGCACATAGACTGTCTACAACACTATATGAAGAAATGCAGGCAGTTCTATAACAATGTTAAAGCACAAACAAGCAAAAGTTTTCCCAACACACTTACCAGCCTGCAAAAAAAAAAAAATATCTAACAATTTGTGTTGAATTGTTTTAGTTGCAAACATATGCAAATACTGTATATATGGAAGCCACACTGCCTCATCGAGATGACCCTGTAAAGTGTGGTCCTAACTCCTATATTTGAGAGTCTGTATACTGGAGCATATATAGCATTGGATAAATTAAGGACATTCCTGGAAGAAGCTTGTTCCTTCTTAAAGTTGAAGGTACACATTAGAATCTCAGCAGAGCACAATGGCAGCTGATGGCTCCCCTTGCCAACTACCCAAATTTAGAAATAGCCTGTGAAGCAAACATTTTCCCAGCACACTCACCAGCTAGCTTGCAAAAAAAAAAATAAAATGGCACTGTCTAAACATGTGCATTAAAACAGAGGCTTTAGTTGCATGCATTTGAAAATGTACAGTATGTGGAAGCTGCATTGGCTCGTCAAGTTTCCTCTAAAAAGTGCCTCTCTAGTTGTTATGTTTAAAACTCTCCAAGATGAAGCATACAGTATGTAGAAATTTATAAATTAAGGACAGAAATACCTGGAGGCAGCACATTCCTCCTAACCAGGGGCGGGCTGACCATTTGGAAACTTGGGAACTGCCCGAGGGCCCAGGGTCAGTAGGGGGCCACATGAGATGCCCTTGGTACCTTTTTCATAGGCTTTTTTGAGTTTGGGCAAGGACACGGGGGCCCCATGATCACCTATTGCCCGGGGGCCCCATGAGTTGTCAGTCCACCTCTGCTCCTAACACTAATAAACCAAGCCGAAATGCACAATATGGATTAGAACACAGCCTAAACAAACTAACAGTTTAAAAAGAGAAATGAGAGATAAAAAGGGTATGGTGAGACTTGACAGCAATACCTGCACTGCAGATTCACAGTAAAGTGATTGGCCAATCAGGATTTGCCAAGAGCTGTTTGTAGTATTGAAAAAGTATACGCCATGTTGAATAAATGAGATAGATGAGTGGACCAAAAATTAGCTGCCATTAACAGAGGTTCCAAATGATGTCCATTGTGGATATCAGGAAAAGTAGAAATAAAATAGAATTGCCAGTACTTGGGAAATCAAGGCTTTCAGTAGTTTAATAACTATTGTATATATCAAAGTGATTCCACACATATTTATGATTTTATATGTGGACTAAATGCCTAATGTGATAAAATATTATATGCATTCAAAATAATTGAAGCGATTTAATGAATTTAGTGAATTTCTTCATTCAAAGTACCCTGTTGCTATAAAGAAAAAAAATTAAAGCCAGCCTATAAAAGAATGAATAATACGTACCTGTACATTGTAAGTGACAAAGCACATCAAAACCCCAAAACAAAGTAATAATATGCAGCTTACCTGTCCTTAGTTGTAGTGGCATCGATAGTTTCCTTATTTCAAACTTTTTCCCTTTTTTTCACCTGGTAATACCACACTTTCTGTCTTAGGGCAACAAAACTCACATAGGCCCCTTTCACATGGGTAGGCTATGCTAGTGGATTCACCTGCTCATCGGTGGATCTGCCCATTGATTCCCATTGAACAGGTGGATGACGGGTCCATGTCCGCTTTGCTTATGCAGAGCGCACATGGACACAGCCCACTTTCCTCTATGGGCTGTCATATGTAAACGGACTGTGTCCTTTTACAGCTTACTGTCATCCAATTCAATCCACTAGATTAATTGTGAATAGATCTGGTTGGATTTGACGCAGGTGGGTGTAAATGGACACATATCCCTTTGCATCTGCCGATCCATAAAGAGCAATGGACAGTCCTGTTCGGTCCACCTTTCCACCCGTGTGAAAGGGGCCTTACTGTACTTCATCTATTGAGGAGCAGAATTGTTATCTTGCTCTTCTGATTTTGATTACAATCACCTCCCTCGTTTCTTATCTTAATTTCATAGAGGGGATGACGGTTTTTAGTTCACAGAAGAAGATAGTTAAGAATTCTGATAACATTGTTTTAAATATCAATTCAGTGCACTAGAATTACATTGAACTAAAATTGTTGACAGGATCAAAGTACTTAGCCTGAAAAGAGAAAACTAATGCAGCCACCACATCACAGAATTGGTAAATTGTAATACATATACTGTATATTCTAATGTTTTCCAGAGCTTTACTCGCAGAAGCATTTTCCTCCAAATCTAATTCATTTTTTTCCTTTTATTTCTGTGATCTGACTTCCTGTTAGAGGGTGGCTACATTTGTTTTCCATGGCCCCAGTGTACATAGGAATGCAGCCACCCTCTCTTGTTCTCTCCTGAGATGGACTAGGGACTATAGACTGTGGGATTTGTAGTGTACATAGAGCACTACACATGATCGCAACTAACATAAACTACTCATTCCAGAAAAAGGGAAATGAGAAGCAAATTAATGTTTGCTACAAATTGTCCTTTAAAGTGGTTCTAAGGGCTGAAGGTTTTTTTTACCTTAATGCATTCTCTGCTTACCTCTGCGTACATGAGCTCTCTCCCTCCTTATAGGGAAGATTGATAACAGCAGGGGCCATTGGCTTCTGCTGCTGTTAACCAAATCCTGTGACCAGGGATTGGAGAATGGAAACCAGTCCCTCTGTTTGTGTCCATAGGCACAGACATGGTATAGGAGATTTACTAAAACTGGTTGACTCAGAATCTTGGGCACCTGTGCATGGTAGCCAATCAGCTTCTAACCTTAGCATGTTCAGTTAAGCTTCAGCAATAAAACCTGGAAGCTGATTGATTTTTATGCAGAAGTGGACAAGATTCTGAGTCAACCAGGTTTAGTAAATAAACCCCGGTGTGTCCTATGGTGGCACATGCAGAAGAAGAGTAGTCGGCGAGGGACCCCAGAAGTGAAGGATTGGGGCTGCTCTGTGAAAAACCATGGTAAGTATAACATGTTTAATCTTTTTTTTTTTTTTTAAATCAAAAATTACGGTTTACAATCACTTTAAGTCATAGCCTCATCCCTCTGAGTGTAGCCCAGCACGTTTAATATCTACCTTTGCCCCTGTTCCTGTAGTCTTTACTGTGCAACCCTGCTGCTGCAGAGCCTTGCTTCAGAAAGGGCCTGCAACCAAGTTTCCTTATTCTGTGTATGCATTCTGCACCCCTATTTGCTCCTGTGGGCCACTGGAGGCCACCATATGCTCAGATTCCCACTGGAATAAATGGGACCATGGTGTGATGGACTAGATGAAGAAAACTCAGGAAGAATGCTTTCTGAAAAATGGCTGTGAGGCTTTGGACAAGACTGCACAGTGAAGATGGGGTTGGGCCATGTCTTAAAAGACAACTTGTTCCAAAAACACAGTTATCTTTTAAAGTGATTCTAAAGGCTTAATTTTTTTTCAAATAACAAACATGTCATACTTACCTGCTCTATGCAGTGGTTTTGCACAGAGCAGCCCGGATCCTCCTCTTCTAGGGTCCCCCACCAGTGCTCCTGGCCCCTCCATTGTGTTGGGTGCCCCCACAGCAAGCAGCTTGCTATAGGGGCACCTGAGCATGTGCACTCCCCAGCTGCTGCACATGGAGTCACGGCTCGGCCCCCTCTCTATTCTCATTGGCTCACTTACTGTGATTGACAGCAGCAGGAGCCAATGGCTCCAGCTGCTGTCTCAGCCAATGAAGAAAGGGAGTCCTTGGATAGTACACATCACTGGATTGAGAGGGGGCTTAGGTGAGTATTAGGGAGGGCTGGGGGGGATCCTGCAAACAGAAGGTTTTTTTTACCTTCATGCATAGAAAAACCTTCAGCCTTTACAACCACTTTAAGCATATATATTCTCCAGTGTATAGAGACTTTTTGCCAGGTTTTTCCTTGCAAGCTCTAAAAACTGTCTGGGCAGGTTTAATGTAATACCACCCTATAGCAGTTCAATGCTGCCCTCTCTCTAGGCATGCCTCATTAAAGATAGATAAACTGCAGTGATATGAAAAAACTCTCTCAGCCATAGCTGCATGTTTGAAGCACATACTGACTCATTTCACTGCACTTCATAGCAACATTGTTAGGACTGATTGGTAATGAGTGACCTAATAATTCACAGGTGTTTTTTCTTTTGTGGATACATTTTGGGGTTTATTTGCTAAAGCTGGAGAGTGCAAAATCAGGCTCATTTCTGCATTGAAACCAATCAGCTTATGACTTCGGCTTGTTCAATTAAGCTCTGGCAATAAAACCTGGAAGCTGATCGGTTTCTGTGCAGAAGTGAGACTGATTTTGCACTCTTCAGCTTTCATAAATAAACCCCTCTGTAAAACACTCAATAACAGTACAATTAAAATAGTAAAATTTGCTTTTTTACCCACTAAAAACTTTGTTAACCTACAGTAATCTCCATGTTTGTTTATATTTTGCACTTACAACTTCTTTGATTGGTATGTACCTAGTTTGGAAGCAATGCAGCAGAATTTTGGAGACAGAAAATGAAATGCAATAACAAACAAACTTTATTTTCCATAATTTTAGGTCACACAATTGTATCATAACATCTCTGGCCGCTTATGTTCTTCTCTTCCTCCTCACATATTTGCCTGTTCGGAGAGGGCTTACCATATGGTTTTCCAAGAGAGGAGACCACAGTGCTTTATCTTAAGGTACCGTCTGCTTGGTATTAGCATATTTAATTTCTGTGTGCACTGAAAGGGATTGTATTGGACATTGTGCATTCATTATCATCATGCCTTGTTATAGCAGAATGATAACAGAAACAGTAAGAAAGAAAGGTGGGTGGTTTGTTGCTATTACAGTAAATTAGAATAATAAGAAATGTTTGCACTGTTTTAGCTTGTCAATACATACATTTTATTTTTATAGTTTACAATATTAGCTTGACACTTAGAATATCATAAAATTAGTCTGGCAAAGCAATTCCAGATTGGACTCAGAAATTAGGTGCGTGCAATGTTTTGTTGATGAATTCTTTGTGTTACTTCTGCATAATTAAGTGAACATTATGGAACTGACTTTAAAGGGGGTGATTATAGTTGGCCATATGTTTAGAGGCTCCTTCATAAAGACACCTATTTGCATAAACTCTCAAATTGTTATTGTAACATGTACTGTGATTGCAGAGCCATGTTAATCTCTGAACTGTTAAAGGGGAACAAAGAAAAAACATCCATTCCAGCTTTCATGCAAGGTGTGCAGAATTATACCTTGCAGTCTTTGGTGCTTTTCCCACCTATTGCCTGACATTGTAGATATCATTTATAAAAAAAACGTGGGCATGGGTACTTTAAAGTGGTTCTAAAGGCAGTTATTTTAATCTTGATGCATTTTTTGCTTTAAGGTAAAAAAAACCTGCATGCAGAGCCCCCTTATAGTTAGCTGAGCTCCATCTCGATCCAGAGTTGTGCACAAGAGCGGTGTCTATCTAGGCTCTCATCCCCCTTATTGGCTCAGAGGCAGCAGCAGGAGCCATTAGCTCCTGCTACTGTCAATTACAGTCAATGAGGAGGGAGTGTGTGTGTGGGCACCTCTGTATGTCAGTTAACACACAGGGTTGGCTCAGGGGAGAAGTCAAGGGCACCAAAGGGGGATCTGAGAAAGGGAGGACCAGGGTTTCTCTGTGTAAAACCATTGTACAGAGCAGGTACTGTAAGTATAACATGTTTGTTATTTAAAAAAAGAAAACTTTAGAATAACTTTAACCACTTTGCTACTGCACTATAGCTGAAACATGGCTACAGCGTGGTAGTCCAATTCTGGGAGGGTGTCATGTGCAGGGGCGTACTGACAACTCATGGGGCCCCCAGGCAATAGGAGATAATGGGGCTCCCTGTGTCCCTGCCCACATTCAAGCCACACCTACACTAAAGCCCCTCCTACATATTGCAGCTCAGCAGCAGAAGGGGACCATAAATATCTACCGCAGCTTAGCCTGTCTGGACGTTCTTGGCTTCTTTCTGTAGAAGCTGCTGGGTACTTCTAGATTTAAAAATGGCTGCCACGTGGCAGCCATCTTTATGACTCAACCAGGAGTGTCTTATGAAAGAAGTGGGCCTATGTGCAAGATCTTAATTTGAGCCTTAATGACAGAGAAAGAAGTGCTGCACATTGCAGCAAAAATTGGGTATAGTTTTCAGGGGCTGGTTACATAGACTCCTGATGATTGAGGGGTTAATTGCCTTGTGTGGGCCTTCGGCTCCAACTCAGCTCCTTCCTGTCAGGAAACGTAATATCTACTGACAGAACACCTACTGAGAACCTGAAATATGACAGAAACTGGAATAGGAGGGAAAGAGATGGTAAAGTGGAAGAGGTGGGGGGAGAGAATGGAAGTGAGAAGAGGAAGGAATGAGCTAGAGAAAGGTGAGAGAGAGAGGGGGTGAGAGAGATGGGTTGTGAGAGAGAGAGAGGGGGAGAGGGGTGTCAGTGGGTGAGAAAGGAGGGGAGAGGGAGGTGAGGGGGTGAGAGAGGTAGGTGAGGGGGTGAGAGAGGGGGGAGAGAGGGGCAGAGAGGGAGGAGAGAACGGGAAGGAGTGAAAGAGAGAAAGGGTGAGAGAGAGGGGGTGTGAAAGGGAGAGGGAGGTGAGGGAGTGAGAAAATGCAGGTGAAGGAGAAGGGTGGTGAGAGAGAAGGTGAGAGGGGCTTGGAGAGAGTGGGTGAAAGAGATAGAGGGGCTGAAAGAAAGGTGTGAGAGGAGGTTAAAGAGAGGGGATAAGAGAGATAGGGGGGTGTGAGAGAGGGGGGTAAGAGAGAGAGGAGGGGAGAGAGAGGGGGGTGAGAGAGGGGGCAAGAGAGAGAGGGGGTGAGAGGACATGGATGAGATAAAGAGGGGTTTAGAGAGGGTATGAGAAGAGGTATAAATAGTGCCCCCCATCCTCAAGGCACACATGGGGTTCCCTATTATAAAGTGCAGAGTACATGGTCATCCTCAGGTCACAGAGCGGACCTCTCATTATAAGGCACACAGAGCCCCCACTTAGGACAGAAAGGGGACCCACAATTGTAAAGCACAATGAACCCCAATTCTCAGGTCAGAAAGTTTTTCCCTCATTACATGCTGTACAGAGCCTCCATTCCCAGTTCATACAGGGGGTTCCTCAATATAAAATGTACTGAGTTCACACAGGGGGTCTCTCAATATAGGAGGTGCAGCCCCCCATTTACATGACAGGGGATCCTTCATTATGAGTACACTGCCCCCACTCAGGACATACTGGGCCCCCTTTATATGAAATACAGCGCTCCCATACACACTGGATCCCCCACATGTTCATTGCTGTACCCCCCTGCACATGTGTTCCAACACTGTACCCCACTTGCACACGTCTTCCATCGGTGTACCCTCTCTGCACATGAGTTCCATCGCTGCACTCCCTCTGCACACGTGTTCCATCGTTGCACTCCCTCTGCACACGTGTTCCATCGTTGCACTCCCTCTGCACACGTGTCCCATCGCTGTACCCCCTCTGCACACGTGTTCTATCGCTGCACTCCCTCTGCACACGTGTTCCATCGTTGCACTCCCTCTGCACACGTGTCCCATCGCTGTACTCCCTCTGCACACGTGTTCTATCGCTGCACTCCCTCTGCACACGTGTTCCATCGTTGCACTCCCTCTGCACACGTGTTCCATCGTTGCACTCCCTCTGCACACGTGTTCCATCGCTGCACCCCCTCTGCACACGTGTTCCATCGCTGCACCCCCTCTGCACACGCGTTCCATCGCTGTACCCCCTCTGCACACGCGTTCCATCGCTGTACCCCCTCTGCACATGTGTTTCCATCGCTGCACCCCCCCCCTGCACAAATGTTCCATCGCTGTACCCCCCTGCACACATGTTCCATCGCTGTAACTCCCTGCACACATGTTCCATTACTGTACACTCCCTGCACACATGTTCCATCACTGTACTCCCTCTGTACACGTGTCCCATCGCTGTACCCCCCCTGCACACATGTTCTATTGCTGCACTCCCTCTGCACACGTTCCATCGCTGTACCCCCTCTGCACACATGTTCCATCACTGCACCCCCCCTGCACACATGTTCCATCGCTGTACCCCCCTGCACACATGTTCCAGTGCTGTACCCCCCTGCACACATGTTCCATTGCTGTAGCCCCCCTGCACACGTTTCATTGCTGTACTCTCCCTGCACACGTGTTCCATCGCTGCACCCCCTCTGCACACGTGTTCCATCGCTGCACTCCCTCTGCACACGTGTTCCATCGCTGTACCCCCTCTACACACCCGTTCCATCGCTGTACCCCCTCTGCACACGTGTTCCATCGCTGCACCCCCCTGCACAAATGTTCCATCGCTGTACCCCCCTGCACACATGTTCCATTGCTGTAACTCGCCTGCACACATGTTCCATTACTGTACACTCCCTGCACACATGTTCTATTGCTGCACTCCCTCTGCACACGTTCCATCGCTGTACCCCCTCTGCACATATGTTCCATCACTGCACCCCCGCACACATGTTCCATCGCTGTACCCCCTGCACACATGTTCCAACGCTGTACCCCCCCTGCACACATGTTCCATTGCTGTAGCCCCCCTGCACACGTTTCATCGCTGTACTCTCCCTGCACACATGTTCCATCGCTGTACCCACCCTGCACAAATGTTCCATCGCTGTACCCCCCTGCACACATGTTCCATCGCTGTAACTCCCCTGCACACATGTTCCATTACTGTACACTCCCTTCACACATGTTCCATCACTGTACTCCCTCTGCACACGTGTCCCATCGCTGTACCCCCCCCTGCACACATGTTCTATTGCTGCACTCCCTCTGCACACGTTCCATCGCTGTACCCCCTCTGCACACGTTCCATCACTGAACCCCTCCCTGCACACATAGTCACCATGGATGGTATACAGGGCTCAGTGTAAACTATGACAGAGTGGCTCCTGGCTCTCACCCCCTCTCTCTCTCTCTCTCACCCCCCCCCCTCTCTCCACCATTCTCTAGGCAGCATGTTGTATTTCCCACACAGTGTCCTCCTCCTCCTTCCCTGCTCTCTCAGCCTCTCTCTCCTCTCAGGATCAGACCCAGAGTTGGCTTACTCCATGCATCCCACCCTGTCCTCTCAGGAGCCTCTCATGAGGCCCCTCTGGCCCCAGGCCCTCGGGCAGTGCCCGAGTGCCCGAATGGTCAGTCTGCCCCTGGTCATTTGACGTCCTCCCAGAACACGCCCATAGCGGTGCACACCCCAGTGCTGTCTGTGATCGCTGTGTCCTTTGGACACAGCTGATCACATGACATGATAAAAGGCCAATTACAGCGGCCTTTTGCCACGTGTTCAGCTGTGTCAAATCACAGCTGAAAACTATCTAAATACACTTGCTGGTTATTGGCAGTACTTTCCTCATGCTGTCACAGCGCGAGGAAAGTACTGCTGGTAACTGTCAAAGCAGACATCTGCACTGATAATCAGGGCACAGGGCACAAATGCAAATCAGTGCCTCCTCATCAATGGCCACCAGTGCCGCCTCATCAGTGCTGCCTATCAGTGCCCATCACTGTTGCCTATCAGTGCAGCCTCATCAACGCACATCAGTGAAGGAAAAAAAATTACCGGTTTGCAGGTAATTTTATAATAGAAACAAAAAAAAACTTTTTTTATTTTTGTTTTTTT